AATATAATTAATAATAATTAAAATGTCAATTAAAAAAAAACAAATTCTGTTCAATTTGAACTTCAAAAATGGATGTTCAAAGTTGGTTTAAATATAGTTAAAATATACTATATATATAGTTAAAAAAGAGTGACTTATTGAAAACACTTTGAATGAATTTGTAGTCATTACAAAGATATTTGGATGGATTTTATACTCAAAAAGAACTCAGAGAACTTCCACTATCAATGAAGAAAGATGCCAAAGATTATCACTTCATTACTCGAAAACGGAGTGAATTGTCACTTCCTTCCCGAGACTTTTCCAGCACTTTTGTTAGTGAACGCAACACTTTTCGATCATTAGAGATACAGAGATCTCAAAAAGTGAAGGGGGCCATATCTGAAATACTTAGGACAAAACAATTACCACACAACACCGAGTGGAGTTTTTCTGTTAACACGTGTGGAGGGTGTGGAGGGACTGTGTTAGGTGGGATAAAGTGTGTAGCGTGTGGGATGTATGTCTGTTCTGCTTGTCGTCAAACAGTCACTTTTGACAATGGAAATTATGGTTTGTCGTTCCACCATTTCATACTAATAGTATAATTGTAATTATTAATACTATTATTCCAACAACTATTAATATTATTAATTATTAATTCTATTATAGTAATTATGGTAATAGTATTAGAACAGAAACAGTTGAGTAAACATTCGTTTTATGCATTTTGTGAGTAAAATAACACGGATTTGCGTTTAATAACACGACAATTAAAAAACGAGTCAAATAATGGATAGAGGTTCCTATGTGTCTGATGTGTTCTGATTGTTATAATCGCATGGAGAAGGGGGAGGATTTTTCAATTCGACTTGAAGCGGGTCAAGACAATGAAGTAGTCAACATTCATTTAAAAGTGACACGGACGTTATTATTATTTGATGAGACTTTTAGAGGGATGAAAGCGTATGCTGATATAGTGTGTGTTGGTGATGAGAAGTTATTTAAAGAGTCTAAAGATCGACTTCGAGAGTTTCAAATAATTTTAAAGAAAGTTGGGGATCTTCAAGGGTTGATGGAAAGCTTTGAAGGGAAGAGTTCCTCAGAGAATCGAATTATAAGGAATTTATTATTAGTGTGGTCGAAGTATAATAAAGAATACGTTTTAAAGGCGATTTCCTTTGCAAATGAGTTTTCAAAAGAAATTGAAAAGGAGGAGAAAGAAAGCCCCGAGCTAACAAAACACACACAACAGGAATTTACTGTGACAAAAATAGAAAACACTGTGATCAATGCAAATGGGGGAGTCCTCATTTTAGAAGTCAATAACTTTGATTTTGGGATGAAAGTCTTTGTGAATGGAAATCTCGTCCAACCCACCGTGAAGAAGACAAAATTGTTCATTCAAGTTCCTAAACAAGTCGGAGAGAAGAGAACTATACAAGTCGTCGTACAAACACCATCTGGAAATTGCGAATTAAAAGATTTGATCTTCTACGACAAGAAACTGAATGCCTCAACATCTCACACAAATGACATGCCTCAAAGTGTGAAAAGCGTTGACAAAACAAT